GGCTGGCTCAGGAATTCTGGGAGTTGAAGTCCACAAGTCATAAAAGAGCCAAGGTTGCCTACCTCTGGTCTAGGCCTAGGCCCCTTCATGACTGGTGGACTTCAACTCCCAGAATTCCTCAGCCAGCCTGGCTCAGCTTGGAAACCTCTCCCTTTCCCCTCAGCATGGCTGGCTCAGGAATTCTGGGAGTTGAAGTCCAGGAGTCATAAAAGAGCCCAGGTTGACTACCTCTGTCCCAGGGTCACGTGATCAAAATTCAGCCGCTTGGCAACTGACTCCTATTTACGACGGTCGCAGTGTCCTGAGGGGAGGGTGTCACGTGATCCCCTTTTGTGACCCTCTGACGAGCAAACTCAATGGAGAAGCCAGGTTCGCTTACCGACCGTGTTGCTAACTTAACAACTTCAGAGATTCACCTGACAACTGAGAGAAGGACGGTCGTAAAAGTGGAGCAAAATTCACTAAACAGTTATCTCGCTTAGTAAGAAAAATCTGGGGCTCCATTGCGGTCATAAGCCGAGGACCACCTGTTCCTACAGAGGGTTCTGAGGAGCACTAAGAGGGGGGGTGAAACTGCTCAATTAACAACGGTCCTGGGGTTCAGAATTTCCACCACTAAGTGAAGCCGTCGTAAAGCGGGATGCCATGGGGACTGCCTCATTTAGCAATGGCCTCATGGGCAGACAAGCACAACCAAATGTAATAAATATAAATAAATTAAAAAAAAACTGCAGTCCCCATAACTAATAAATAATCAAGGACTCAACCCCGATTCCCAGCTGGGTCCCTCCAGCCCCCAGTCTCCATTCTCCCAAGGCCAGCGACTGCCTCCCCACCCGCCCCTCTCCTCATCTCTGCCCTTTTGCCCACCTGGCACAGTGGCACTCCTAGGCGGTGGTGGGGGTCCCAGAAACCGGGGGCCCACGGCACCTTTAACGGGCCCTGCTGCCCCAGAGCTTCTACTACAGCCCCAGCGCTGGGCAGCCATAGTGGCTGAGATTGGGGGGGTGAGACAGGCGAGGGGGTTGAACCGCCCCAACAGTTGTAAGATGGGCAGCTACCTGTGACCAGAGTGACGCTGCCACCGCCGTAATTTTGAGGACCAGGAGTAAGGAGCCTTCCTTCAGCGAAGCCATCACTTTGAACAACCGCTGAACAAACAGTCGTAATTCAAGGACTAGGTCTGCTAGTGGCCTTCTGTGGATCATCCTACTGCTTTCTGCACGCATCCCAACCAGCCTTCTGCGTAGGCCACGGACCAGCACCGTCCCAGGAGGAGACCCCAGGGAGAGTCCCGTAAGTTTTTCCCTTTTTAACGGAACACGAGTCGCCAAGGATTCTACGGGACGAGACCAAAACGCCTCCCAAGCCAGCTTGAGATGAGAGCAGCTAAAGCAGTGGTTCTCAACCTGTGGGTCGGGACCCCATTTGGGGTCGATCGACCATTTCACGGGGGTCGCCAAGCAAGGCTGTCTGCCATTTTTTTTGTCCGCCATTTTTTTTTGTCCGCCATTTTTTTCCCCCTTTTCCGGCGGATGCCTTACCTCCCTTGGGCTGGGCCAGCTGGTGGTCGGCCTGCTCCGTCTCTGCCACTTGCCAGCTACACCTCGGCCGGCGCAGGGGGCGGAACCACGCATGCGCGGCGCTCCCAGGCAGGGAAAGTCCTCGACTTACGACAGTTGGGTAGTCCTCGACTTACGATCGGTTTAGTCCTCGACTTACGACCGGTTGGGTAGTCCTTGACTTACGACCGGTTTAGTCCTCGACTTACGACCGGTTTAGTCCTCGACTTACGATCAGTTTAGTCCTTGACTTACGACCGGTTGGGGTCACGGCATTAAAAAGGTTGAGAACCACTGAGCTAAAGTGATTAAAGGCCTGGAGACTAAAACACAGGATGAACAATTGCAGGATCTGAGCTTGGCTAGTCTAATAAAAAGAAGGATTAAGGGGGTGACTTGACAGCAGCCTTCAAGTATTTGAGGGGCTGCCCCAAAGAAGAGGAGGGGGTCCCACCTACTCTCCAAAGCACATAAATGCAGGACAAGAAGCGATGGATGGAAACTAAGCAAGGAGAGAAATGACCTGGATCTAAGGAGGAATTTCCTGACAGTGAGAACAATTAATCAGTGGAACAGCTTGCCACCAGAAGTTGTGGGTGCTCCATTACTGGAGGTTTTCAAGAAGAGACTGGACAGTCACCCGTCTGGAATGGTAAAGGGTCTCCTGGTTGAGCAGGGGGTTGGACTAGAAGACCTCCAAGGCCCCTTCCAGCTCTGTTCTGAATTGACCCCACATCCTAGGTGCAAAAAGGCCTCCCCCAGCCTAACAGGAAGAGCAACACAATTCATCCCAGGCTCCTTTGGGGGGGTGGAAGGGCAGAGCAGAGCCCCATCTCTCTGAGGGGGGGGCGGTCTGGGCCTCTTCGTGAAAAGGGACCCGGCCAAACCCGCCTCCCCCAGCTCTCCGGGCACCAGGCCCTCCCTCCCTCCCTCCCCAAGGGGGAGAGCCCGGAGCAGAGTTCACACAGCAGCAGCAGCAGCAGCAGCAGCTTCCCTGCCTGCTCAGCCAGCGGCCTGACTTTGCCCAGGATGTTGCACTTGATGGTTCAGTGGTCTTGCAAATCCGATTCAGAGCCCGGATCTTCGCTCAAGGGGGCAGCCGGGGCAGCAGGAAAGGAGGCGGCTTCCGTGGAAGAGAGAGCAAAGGCCGGGCATGGAGCCAAGTGGCCCTGGAGAAGGAAGACACTTCTCTGTGTGTGTGTGTGTGTCTGTCTCTCTGTCTCTCTGTCTCTGTCTCTCTCTCTCTCTCTCTCTCTTCTCTCTCTTTTTTTCTCCCTCTCTCTCTTCTCTCTCTCTCTCTCTCTTCCTCTCTCTCTTCTCTCTCTCCCTCTCTCCCTCTCTTTCTTTTCTCTCACTCTCTCTCTTCTCTCTTTTTTCTCTCCCTCTCTTTTCTCTCTCTTCTCCCTCTCCCTCTCTCTCTCTCCCCTCCCTCCCTCCCTCCCTCCCTTTCTCTCTCTCTCTCTCTCTCTCTTACTCTGTCTCTTTTTTCTCTTTCTCTCCGTCTCTCCCTCCCTCTCTCTCTTCTCTCTCTCTCTCTCTGTCCCTTTCTCCCTCTCTCCCTCTCTCTCTGTCTCTCTGTCTCCCTCTCTCCCTCTCTCTCTCTCTCTCTCCCTTTCTCGCTCTCTCCCTCTCTCTCATTCTCTCCCTCTGTCTCTGTCTCTGTCTCTGTCTCTGTCTCTCTCTCTCTCCCTCTCTCCCTTTCTCCCTCTCTCTCATTCTCTCCCTCTCCCTCTCTCTCTCTCTCTCCCTCTCTCCCTCTCTCTCTCTCTCCCCCTCCCCGGGTGGCTTGGCTAGGATACATTTCATAATTTAGGGTGGGAGGAACAGGGGGCAAGGAGTTGCTTGGAAGAGGAGATCTGAACTCTGCACATGCCTTAGAGTTCCCTTGCCCCTCATCAGCAGACCACTGCTTCCTGGAGATGCAAGGCGGAGGGGTGGGGGGTATGGAGGGGGCAGTTAAATAGGAACCCCAGCTGCCTCCCTTTTTAATTTCTCTGACCCTTCACCAGCCCTCCCACTCTCTATGCACACGTTTCCCAGAATCCCCTTTTCATTCATGGGGGGGGGGGGGTGAGAAATTTAACTGAATCAGCTAGGAACTGACTGACTCGTTTCCAAAGTGTGTGTGCGTGTGTGTGTGTGCTTTAATGGCATTTTCCCCGGATAAGGAAAATTGTAAAGTTAACCATCCTACCAAGCGCAGAGGCAGGCAAAGGTGGACCAAGTCTCGGGCAACGAGGAAGATCCCGTGGGGGGGGGGTGTTTCCAGAGGTGGAGGGGCCCTTCTCCCGGAACGGCGCGACCACCCCTCGGTTTACACTCCTCTAGCAAAGACGCCCCCCCATCCCAGCCCCGCGGGAGACGCTCCTCCAGCCGCCAACAGGGCGAGCGAGCCGCGAGCAGGCAGGGGAGACCCGCTCCGGCCCTTGCGCAGCCCCGCCAGTCGGAACTCCCCCCCCCCGCCCGAGGGAGGCGCAGGGCCGTTGGCCTTTTAAGCGGGCCGCGTCGGGGCGCCCGCCGGGTGACTCGAGTTCAACCTCCGCACGTGCCGCCGGCGAGACGAGGCTAACCAGAGGCTGGGCGGCCGCAGCTTGCCACGAACCTCCCTCCGCCCCGCATCCCCGGAGAGAAGGACTCGGCAAGGCAGCCTCCCTGCCCCCCCCCAAGGAGCCCCCGAGCCGCCGCCCCCCAGATGCCCCCCCAGGCACGGGACCCCGACGCCCATCCTCCTCGGCCGGTGCCCATGTCTCCAGGGTCAGTCCAGTCCCTCCGCCGCCCCCCAGGCGCACCGCGGCTTTCCTTTCCTCGAAGGCGCGGCCTTGCAGCGCCCAGACCCGGCTGGGAAGGCCAGGCGACCCCCCCCCACACACACCCTCCCGTCCCGCCGCCCTTGCCGAGCCCTCCCGCCAGGCGCTCTGCGAATGCTCAGAGGCCCGCCCGCGCGCCGCCCTTACCTTCCGCTTGTGCCGGTGGACGTCTCCGATGGAGTTGGCCACGGTGTTGGGGCCCAGGAGCAGGCGGGTGCTGCGCGGCCACTCGGTGCTGACCAGGCTGTGCTCGCCCATCAGGATCTTGCGCACGTTCTCGGCGCCCGTCACGCGGATCAGCGGCCGGCCCAGCAGGTGGGTCTTGAAGACGTGGCCGTACCTCTCCCGACGCGAGGACTGGAACCCAGGACCCTGCAAGAGGAGGCGCGGCCGTCAGCCTGGCAGTTCCCCCCCCCCCGGGTGGAGGCGCTTCCCAGGAGCTCCCACCCGCTTCACACACACCCCGACCCCCCGTTTGCGCTGCAGCCCAGAGCCGGAGTAGAGATCCGGGGCTGGCGGCAGGGCTCCTGCGGCAGTCTCCAGTCCGCCTTCCCCGCGCGCCCCCCCCGGGCTGGGGATCCTGAAGCCGCGGTCTTGCCCCGGAGGACGGAGAGCGGGACGGGAGCCCCACGGCGGCTGCAAAAGGCTGCTGGAGCGTCGGGGCTCTAGCCCAAACCCCCCCCCACCCTCCCCAGAGCCTTCCTTGCGCGCTCAGCCCGCATCTGTCGCCCACTTCCACCTCTTCCCACGCACACGGACGCGCGGGGTGTCAAAAAGGCGAAGCCGTGCGGGAAAGGAAAGGGGGAGAGCCGGCCACGGGTGTCAATCTGGCGCGTGGGAAGCGGGGCTTCTGTTCGTGACTTTGGGGGGGGGATCGGATTTCTTGGGCCGTCCCGCCTGGCCCAAAGACGCCGGCCAAGGACAGGCGCGGGACGGTCGCCTTCCGCGATTGGGGCTTGGGTTCCTCCTGCTGGGAGGGGGCGTTGCTGCCCGTCTTAGCCCCCCCCCCCGCCGCCCCCTCCCCGCCAACGCTGCTGGAAAGCAAAAGAAGGGCGCAAAGGTTCGCCCCGCGCTAGCCCCCCCCGATCCAAAGGAAGCGAGGCGGCTTCCGAGTCGGAGGGTCCCCGGGCCAGACGGTTGGTTCGCTTGGGCACGAATTCGGGGAGCGGAGGAAGAGAGTTTTGTGACCCCGAACTCAAGAGTTTAACGAATTGTGTGAATGCAGCCGAGGCTTAACACGGGCAAAGGGGTGGCTGCTTCCTTCGTGGGGGGGGGGGAATGTCAGAGGGCTGGTTTTAATGGCTGTCAAAAAGAGCGTCTGGTTACCTAGTCTAGGATGCCGAAGGCGCGCGCACACACACACCACACACACACACACACACACACGCAAGCACACACGACTGTGTTGTGTTACACCAGACATTCCCAGTGCAACTAGCGATCCCTGGAGGCGGCGGGCTCCCCTTGGCGGCCTGAGCCCGAGCAGAGCCTGGGTCGCCGTTCTCGGGGAAGAAGGGGGGGGGGGCTTCAGGCCAGCGGCCGTCGAAGGGCAGGCAGGATCTGGAGTGTAAATAATGGGCGCCCCCTTTACAGAAGGGGGGGCAATCTTTCTGCTTTGCTGCCTCGGAGGCAACGAGCAGAGTCTCCCCGTTCCTTCTCGGTTATGGCGGCACAATAGAACGAGGAGGGTTCCCCTGAGGCCATCAAGACCACCCCCTGCACTCCAACTAAAGCCTACCTGGTTGGGGTCCTCTCCAGCTCCCTGACGCTGTAGAGAAGCTCTCATTTGGGGCGGTGGGGGGGACAAAACGCCTTTCCCGCCCAGAGATGGCCAGGTGAAGGGGAGGAGACCGCGGTCCCCAAGACTGAGGCTGCCTTGGTGGGGAACCCCTCCCGGGAGGGCAACTGGCTTAAGGAACACCAGAGACACCCCCGCACCCGTGGAACTGTGGAAGGGATTCAATTTCTGAGATTAGGACTAAAAGGGGGGCTGAATCAGCCTCCTCCGTCTCCCCTTCGCGCCCTCGATTCCTCCTTCCCACGGAGGACGAATTCCTGCGTGAACCCACTCCAAGTATCCTTGGCTAAGCGCGGGGCAAGACCGGGACTCCTAAGAGCTTTCCCAGATGCTGGCGTGGTCCAGGGGAGGGAGGGAGAGAAGGAGAGAAGAAGCCACAAGCCACCCGAGGGGAAGGGG